TATTAATCGCCGCATTGAGCGCGGAGGGAAAAAGTGTGATCCAGAATATTGAACAGATCGATCGCGGATACCAGGATATCGATGGAAGACTAAAAAAACTGGGAGCGGATATAAAAAGAATCAGCGGATAATACATTTCACGCCGAGTAGGCAAGCGGGAGTTTCACCCGCAAGCCTCTCACAGAACCGTACGTGACAGTCTCCCGTCATACGGCTCGTGTTATCTTTTTAGATATAACAGTACTTGCTTTGCCAGTGGTAGAATAACGCCGGGTTTTGCAATCTAAGATTCGTCAGCCACTGCAATGATGCTCTTGAACCTTGCTTGTGCTTACGGCTTATCCATTTCACCAGTTTTGTTTCAAGATATAACATTGTCCTGTGAAGCTGACGTTTCCCAAAGCCACCAAAGTAATTGATCCAGCCTCGCAGTTTGCTGTTGAGCTTCTCTGCGATTTGATCGATGGTCTGCCACGTGTTTCGCCAGTTAATGGCACCTTTGATCTCATCTCTGATTCTCTTTTGATTGTCGCTGCTGATCTCCGGAACAAACGCTGTGATGTTTCCTGACTGATACTTGCTCGGTGTGGGTCGGGGTTGATAACTGAAGCCCAAAAATTCAAACTGCACCTGACTATGCTTTTTGTTGCGACGATAGTCCTTACAGTACACAATTTTTGTCTTCTGTTCATTCAGTTTTAAACCTACCTCCGTTAGCCTTGCGGCAATCACTGATCGAAGATGCTGGGCTTCCGGTTCGCTTCCGCAATGCACGATTACATCATCGGCATAGCGAACGAACATTACCTGACCATAGTGCCTTTCCAACCACTTGTCTAACGTAAAATGCAAAAACAAGTTAGCCAGCAACGGACTGATCACTCCACCCTGTGGTGTCCCTTTCCCATGCCTTTCCTCCATCGTGCCGTCTGTCTTCTGCACTTTCATTTCAAGCCATCTTTGCACATAGGTCTTTACCCATTTTTCTTCGATCATCGCTTCTACTGCCTTTAACATCAGATCATGGTTTATCTCATCAAAGAACTTCGATATATCCATGTCCAATACCCAGTCCTGTTCCAGGCAGTTCTTTCTTACCTGTTCAACTGCTTGCTTCGCACTTTTCAGTGGCCGGTAGCCGTAGGAGTTGCGATGGAACTTCTCGTCCACCCGCTGCTCCATGTATCGCCTTACCACTTCCTGTGCGATCCGGTCCCTGATGGTAGGTATGCCCAGCTTCCGCACCTTCCCATCCTTCTTGGGGATCTCCACTTCCCGTACCGGCTGAGGAAAATAACTACCCGATGCCATACGGTTCCACACCACGTACAACTGCTTCTCCACTCCCTTCCCTTCGAACATCAACCAACTTTCCTGATCTACCCCAACCGCTTTGCCGCCTTTTCTTACTTTGGCATACGCTTCTACTACCATCTGATAGGTAATAGGTACTGTTTTGTCTACATGTACATTCATTTAAATCATCCTCTTTCAAGTTGTTTAATTGTTTGAACATTTCAATAACCAGAGCCCTTCGCTCCATGCCCGTTACAGGCACTTCAACACTACTATGACTCTGTCCGACTTGCGGTGACCGGGAAGTATTTCTTCCCTGCTGTTCACCGCATCTCCCATGTTCTCTTTTAAAGCCTGTGACGGGTTCATGCTGTTTGTATAACGGCGCGCGCACAGCCAGTAATTCAGGTAACCGCCGTGCTTATCCCAGCCTCCTTAGCATAAAGCGGTTTTGCGACACAACTAAGCGATTTCGTTACTTCATCAACAGTTCACTTTCGTTCATCTCCCCGTCACCCACCTGCTTATTTTTAATAAGCTTTTCCCTATCCGTTCACCACCAGCCCTTCACAAGGCCAGCAGCGTAGAGTAGTTTGACAACCCCGCCTGTACAGCGTTGCCGGAGGGCCTACCTCCATCTTTAAAAGAACTTCATGGCACAAGCCAAGACGCCAAGATTGGCCAAGACGCAAAGGGATTTCGATGTTTTAGAAGAGGTTTCGCGAATCTCTTTTTCCTTACGGAATTATAAAAATGGTTGCGGTGCTTCGCGATATCTCTTAGCGTCTTGGCGCATCTTGGCGTCTTGGCGGGAATACCTTTGCGGGAAATAAAAAAAGTCCAGGCACTGCTACCTGGACTACCCCTGTATGTATGACTAGAAAAAGTGACGCGTTTATAATACTCCGTGTATATTCTGCTTTAAAAGCCTGGCAGACCATTTATCTTTCAACACCAGGACAAGCACTAATAAAAGCATATGTTTCATGATTGTTAGTTTTTAGTGTGATTATATTATGCAAGCATTGCACCTTCGGTTAAGCCTTCCAATACCTGCCTGAATCTTCTTTCAGTCAGTTCTTTCTCCGCCGTAACAAATAATGACTGGAAAACGACTTCGGGCGCATTCTTTTCAACACCCTTCAGCCAGCCCGTAATCTCAGCATTGTTCAGACCCCGCATCATCCATTTACTGTACTGTGCCATGTATTCCTGGGGAACATTAGAAATAATCGTTTCCGTAATTCCCATAAGTTCCTTGTCACTGTAATACCGCCATAGAATCGGATTTAACACCTCTTCTTCTTTAGCCATATGCTCAAGGTTAAAGACCATAAAACGTGAGTAAGCTGATTGTACCTGGCGTCCTGCTTCGGCTTTGT